GGAATTTCTAAAACATCCCTACTCCCTACCGTATGTTCAGAAGGGTGTGTCAAGGCCATTGCTGAGAACCAGGAATAAAAGGCGTTTCTCAATGTTAGCTTTCCCTGCCCAGTGAAAATTGAGTGTAACAAAAGATTTCTTTGTTGACTGGCTCAGGAAGACTGTGCACTATTTGAAACTTTGGCCATTATGTATCGTTTTACCTTTCAGCATGCAACTATAATGATGAAAAATCTTAAGATTTTTGATGCAAAAGTAAATATTGGGGATTTACTAAAACTGTTACCTGTTCTGGTCACAATCAAAGGTTCACAGTTGATGAAAACTGAATTGTAAATGTTATTACATCATTTTTGTTTGTTTGTGTGTGTGTGACAGATAGTAGAAAGTAATACAAATGGATCATCCAACAGTCTCATGATGCCAACAATACTGGGGAAGATTAATTGTCTCAAAATGTAAAACAGTGCTGTATGTTGTGTACTTGGTAATTTTTTTTTTTCTTTTTTTTACCATAGGCTTAATAACTCTTTAATTAGGGTTACAGTTGTTTATCCTCTCCAGTATTTTTTTTTTTTTTTCTTCTGTATATGCGCATGTGTGGGTGCATATATGCCTGCATGGAAGTATGTCTCATGTATTAACTAGTGAATGACCATGGGAAGGGGGGGGGAGGGTACTGAAAAGCTTGGTGACAAAATCACACGCACGCATACACACATCCGCATCCATCTCCACACACACACACACACACACACACACACACACACACACACACACACACACACACACACACACACACACACACACACACACACACACACACACGCGCGTGCCACACGGCACACGGCACACGCCACACGCCACACACCGCTCACCGCACACCACACACACATAAATTCTTTTTTATCTCATGGGAATAAAGATATTGGCATCTCACAAATATGATAATGGATGGCTGTATGTAGAATGTATGTATCTGTGTGCATGTATGTTAGTATATATGCAATTATGTATTTCATCCACTGCGTTTGTCTTGAAAGGATCGTACCTACTTGCATCAGCATATATGTGTTGATTTGCTGGTAGTCTGGAGGGTAATACACATAATAGATGATGATAAAAATCAGTTTTTGCATTGTTGAAATGATTGCACACTCAGTATTTAACTGCCAATGCAGCTGAAAGACCGGTAGTAGGTAAGTGGAGCAATTGGTGTTGTTTCTATATATTCTCCTTGATATACCAGTTGGGAATCCTACCACAAATATATGTTTTCCTTCATATACCAATTAGGAGTCCTATAATGGATACATGTTTTCCCTTCATATACCACATAGTTAACAAACTACAAATTGTAAACCTGTAGTTGGAACTTCCAAACAGAAAACTGTTGCCATATTTTAGGTACATTTTGTGTAGATAATTGGTATATAAAATTTAGAATATGTATAGATGTTGGAAGATTTAGTATGTTCATTATACATAGCTAAAGAAGGATTTTTATGATAAACCTGAAGGGCACAATTCTTTGTTAGATTTATTTTTCCATTCTCTTGATTTTCAAAGTTTTGAGAACCCATCTATTAGTTTAAGGATGATGTTTGAGTGTGTCACCATCTGACTGTTTTTGTATGCTGTATATACATTTTGAGATCTCATGAGGCCGTACTCATTGTTCAAGTTACAATTATCATAGAATACTACTAATAGCTAAGAGTGATGTACAGGTTCTTAGATGTTGGAGCATCATAGAAAAAAAGAAATATTTTATAAATTTCATACACCTAGAGGTTCATACAGAGTACTTTATGTAATGTTAATATGTGAAATAGTTAGTGATTTTGATGCCTTTTGTTATTAGGTAAATTAGGCCCATTGTCATTACTCTCCGTAGGAAGATGTCTTTAGTGTCAGTGAAGGCTCAAAATTACTGATAATGTCACATTTAATTGAAGATCCTCATTAAAGATGTTTATATTATAGTGGTGTTTATCTCTCCTGATGATAATTACATGATCAGCTGATAAACTTTTTATAACTTTGTGTGGCTACTTTAATATACTTAATAATTCTTTTTTTTTCTTTTATCTACGATTACAAAGTTGCTTGCTGTAGATTGTGCATGACAGTAATAAATGTGTTGCATGAAGGGTTCTACTAAAATACTCCTTACTTTTGCATGTTGAAAGTCTGTAGTATATATTTTTTTATGATTACTGTGTACTAATTTTTATTAATTTTTTCTTGATTTTATTTTGGTATTTTTACTGCATTGATTGTGTAATTGTGTATTTTCATTTAGCATAACCCATTCCTTGCCGGAGCATTCCATGTGCATAATATAGGGAGAGTATGCTGATGGATATACAGTACTTCTTAAACTGATCTTTGGGGGAAATTAATAGATATTTCACTTGTATTATGCACATAACAGACTGTGATATTCTGAAGACATTCAAGAGCTTAATAAGTAACCCTAGAGCTTTGATTTTTGCAGGCGAGTCCACCCACTTGTGAGCGCACGAAGCTTTGGCTGAGTATTTTGGCTTGGCATTGCGTACCTGACCCACCGGAACTGATGCATGTAGCATTTCCCGTTCACAATCTTAGGGCAGTGCTGGTCATCCCTTACCCACTTTATGCAGTCTACGACAAAGTTCAGTTCATCTGTGATGGATGGCCATATGAGAATGTATAGTATTTTCATGGATAAGTAAATTTCCTATACTCTGATGTATAAGGGTTAAGTTCAATTGGCCACAGTCTTCAATGTTCACTTTGTAATAACTTTTATTGAAGTGCAAATGCATGTTAATAAGAAAAAAAGACTGAAGACAGGATTTTTAAGCTGCCATGGAAGTTGCTCTGAAATGGATAAGTTCAGTTTAAGTAAAAAGTTGGGATTTTTTTTTTTTTATATGACCAATGTCAGAGGATTCAGGATTTTAGAAATTTTCATACGACTTCCAGATTTTATGAATAAGAAAAAGATCAACAAAAGAGTGCTTGTGTATCTGTATATACAAAACTTGGCAAATACGCCTCACAAAAAGAAAAGTAATTTATTAATGTACATTAAACAATACTCCTTGATCTCGTTTTGTGACAGTTCAGGTGTTAATACATTTATTCTTAGAGTAGCAGATGTTTGAAGTGTAGGAGAACAAAAAAAAGTATATTTTTTCGCATAACTTTATGACAAAAAGTAAAAAAAAAAAAAGATAAAAAAAGGAATAAATACACGGCATGTTTAACAAGTAGCTCCATTTCTACATTTTACCTTATGAATATCAGATTGAGCAACTTGTAACTGAATGTAAAGTACAGAATTATTTGCTTCGTGTTAGGAAATTTTAGGAATGTTTGAAGAGTTTATTTTTCATATTTTATCATCTAACATCCCCTCTGCTTTGTGTTCTCTATGAAAGTGCAGTATGTAGCAATAAGTTTGCTTATAGCATAGTTTAAATGATATGGATAGTGAATAATGGCAGTTAGGGGATAATACAGGGATGATTAATATTAGGTTGTTTCTTGGTAGCAAACTTAGCCCATTTCACGGTTTGACACGGCTGAGGCTTATTATTTGTAGTGTACAGGATATACCATGACATGTGCAGTTGCTTAGGCCAGTATAAAGCACTGCATTATATTTTTGCATATTTGTTGAAATAATGTAATTTTATTCCTATTTTATTCATCTGTTATACAAATGCCCATATGTTGCCAAAGGCATAAATGTTTATTTGCAGTGCAGGTTGCCTGCAACCATATTCCAACCCGGTATATGGGCCATCTGGGGATGTTAAACTGACCTTTTATTAAAAGAAAAAAAAAATGATACCTAAGGTATGATTTCATGGTAACATTATTTTTAAAATGTAAAAAAAAAACTTTTATCAGTTTTGTTGTAGTGATGCTAAAAGCTTTTTTTTCTCTTTTATCTAATTTATGCTGTGAGAAGGTTGTCACACAAGCTTTCTGAATAGCATAAGGGATATCAATATGCCTGAAAGGATAGGCTATGATAAGTGTTGAGGTAGAGAAAAGATTCTAATGTAGTCATTTTTTTTTATTTTCTTTTATTTTTTACTCAGTTTCACTGTAGTTTACATTAGAAAAGTACAAACTATAATTAGATTTACAGTAATTAGAAATAGTATCTTGCATTTAAATTGTAATTAATTTATCTGTTGGTAGGCATTATGGTAATATGTGGAAGTGATGTATTTTAAAGGGGTTTCATTTGTTTTCATTTGTATATAAATCTATTTTTATTTTTTTGTTAATTATTAGTCTGAAGTAATATTGTAGACGATAAAAACTTGTACCACATGACACCAAAGATGTACATTATTCCCAGGCATCACTCACAAAGACTTGTTTTCAGTGCGTAATATCAGCCATTCAAAAATGATACGTTTTCAAATCTGTTTTGTTTTCATTAATATTCGGAAATTTAAGCTTCAAAAATAAATTGCACAGAATCTTCTAAAAAAAAGGAGATAAATGTAATATCATATCCAAATTGTAGTAATCATATATATCCATAAGCAATAAAAACAAAAACAAAAACAAAAGATCAAGAGGCATCATTTTGATTGGTTGATATATACCACTCATTACATAAGTTTCAGCATCTTCATTCACGTACAACCTGGGAAACTGGAACTTCTATTGTAAGAGGAATATTTTTTTCTCCAAATATGATGTTACAACTTTTGCCCCTGTGGAGACAGATATTTTCTGTTGAATAAAATATACACAGAACCAGTTCGTAATTTCAGGAAGAATATACTCCTTTACCCAGACCCTTAAATATAGTAATAATAATACTTTACTTTTGTTACTTCTCTCTGTGTTTATTCTCTTCCTCTTTTTTTATTATACAACATTGTATTTTAAAACCATATCTGTCTTTCCTTTCTTATTTTGTGTGAGAGAGAGAGAGAGAGAGAGAGAGAGAGAGAGAGAGAGAGAGAGAGAGAGAGAGAGAGAGAGAGAGAGAGAGAGAGAGAGAGAGAGAGAGAGAGAGAGAGAGAGAGGAAAAGAAAGAGTGGGAACAAAAGAGAAAAAGAGAGTGAGAAAAGCTGACAGTGACAGAGAAAATGATACAAGTGAGTGAATGATTGAGAGTGAGTGAATGAGCATGTGAGGATGTGTGTGAGTGAGTGAGTGAGTGAGTGAGTGAGTGAGTGAGTGAGTGAGTGAGTGAGTGAGTGAGTGAGTGAGTGAGTGAGTGAGTGAGTGAGTGAGTGAGTGAGTGAATGAGTGAGTGAGTGGAAGAATGAGCAAGCAAGCATGTGTGTGTTGAGTGTTGGGGTAAGCGAGAGTGAGTGAGTGAGTGAGTGAGTGCATGAATGAGTGTGTGAGAGTGAGTGAATGAGTGAATAAGTGACTGAGTGAGAGACAGAGCAAGGTTACATGCATGAGTGCATGAGAAAGAAAGGTGGATGGATGGAAACTTCCCTCATTACTTCATAAATATTTCTAACTGAATATTTTCCTAACAACTACATGATGTTTTTTTTCCCTCCACAAGAAGAAAATATAAATATAAAATGGTGAAGGAAAATAATGTAAAAAAAAAAGACTTCATTGCTCATTCTGAATCAATTATATTCCTAATTTTAACTTTTTTCAAAATACTTTAAAAGGATAATTTGCATTTTGCTTTGCACAGTTGTAACCACATTTTACTTTTTCTGTTGATAATTTTTATACTGTTTTAATTTTATTTTTACTATTAACATTACTAATTATTCATATTACTAATATTGACAGCTGTGTTAATATAGCCAACTTCATAAAAAAAACTAACAATTTAACATATAATAGAGAAAAGGAGAAGATACAAGAACAGTAAAACTTACATGCATGAAATGGACTTTTATGAGGTGGTAAGCTGAAAGTCAACTAAGGATTTCTTTTCATCTAAAACAGACCTATCATAAATAAAATAAAAAAAAGGTAAATTTGAAAAAAAAGAAAATCCAATTGTCTCTGAGGAAATATGAGGAATATAAGAAAAAAGAAATACTTTTAATGACGATCACAAACAATGCATTATTTTTGGATTATCCGTTAAGTCACCGACCAAGGCAGCAGGATGTGGTCCCCTTGAGAGACTTTGAGAACTACGAACAAGGTAAGGTCTTTTTAACCTTTTTAATCTTTACAATCACATGTTAGGTTGACTCTTGAAGTAATTGTTTTTTAGATTATGTAGTTGTCATTTTTCACAGTTGAATACTGTAGTCCTGCCTATGAAAATATTTACTGTTTATAACCCATTATATGAATACAAACTCCATTTTTTAGTATTTAATACCATAACATATCTGAGACTATAACAGTAATCATAATTCACATAACTGTGAAAGCAAAGATTTTGTTCAAATGTATTGAAAGATGCAAGCAAATTTAGTCGCATTTCTTTCTCAGAGAAAAGAGTAAGTAGGCTTAGCATACTGGAATGGTTATTTCATTCATGGCAGTTTGTCTCTAGAGCTAAAAGCTGGATGTCTTTGTCCTTCTTTGTCCAACTAAAGAGTTTAAAAGTTTCTTGACTTTTTTCTGAGATATAGCTATTTTTGGGAAGCTTTCCAAATTTCTATGAGGAAGTTTTTTATTTTTTAAATTTTATTATGTACACTGATATGTAACATGACTAAGAGGGATCTTATTTCTCAGTCTGACTTGGAGTAGAAAATATGGATTGATGTTTTATGATCTAGCAGTATTTTTTTTTCTTTTTCTTCTTGCTGAAAAAAAATCAGAAGCTCAGTGCAAAAGGAAATAAATATATATATTGCTTTATTACTCCTGAAAATGTTAAAATTAGCTATTATGAACTAAATATAATAATTTCAAATGTTTCAAATCTTTTCATAACTTAACCCAGTGCCGCCGGGGAAAATGAATAGAAAATGGGGAAAATGCTGTACTCATTTTTTATATTTTTGTGAACTATCTGTGCTAGTCCTGATTTCACCTTTCCTCAAATTGGCGGAAAAGAACGTATTCTTACTAGTGCTATAAATATAGATGGTGTTATTTTTAACAGCAACTTAGGATAAGGTTAAATATTTTCATAGATTGATGAAAAGGGTGAACAAGCGAGACAGGCAGTACTTGTAATTGGCTCACTGGTGACTTAGTACAAGTGTAGCGATCTATGTATAAAAACAATCAAACAAGTTGACTCACAGTGGGCATGGCATGTATGTACAGGCCATCCCCGGCGGTAATGGGTTAATATCCAAAACACATGCAGCAGCCTCTTTTACAGTTTTCTTACTTCAACACCATAAGCAGCATACACATACTCAAAAAATAGCTAAGTAAGCAAAAGTGCAGTGGCAACATGAATATCAACATCAGCTTGTGGTTCTAATAACCTGGGAGGGGGGAGGGCTTATTTGGGCCCTCCCTAGATGAGTGGTATGGAAGTCAGCAGTCATATGCCTGGGAGTAATAATGTTAAAGAAATTGCTA